TCTGTAATCTGTAATGGAATACATTTTAAAAGTAACCTTCCCAACACTGAGCGCAGGTAAAACTGTTCTTCAGTTGCAAAGTCAGATTCTTGCCTGCTCTTCCAGGATACGTGGGAGTGTGAATAAATGTTTTCGAGATTGTCTGAAAACAGCACAGCTGGTGCCTTGGTCTGCTGAGGATGGCTGAGAAGATTCCCTCATCTGTTGTTTGTCCTCGTGAGATATTTTTGAGTTGAAAATTGGCCTGTTTTTAAGTGAAGAATGCGGCACGAAACTGGTGGAAAGTGATTACGTAGGGCTGCAAATGTGTTTATTGGAATATTTTAGTTCAGCATATAATTTTACCTGTTTACAGTTAGCACTTCTCATGAAAACATTTGGAGACAACGCACTTGAATATTCATGACTGAGTCATTCTAGCAGTGTGCCATAATAAACGGTAAATAAGAATAAATAATAAGAAGGACCGTAGTTGATCTTTATGGAGGTTGCTGTGGTTTTATACACCTTAAAGGGAGAGAGCCCACTCCTTCTCTCCGCTTAAAGGGAGTGGTTTTACTTCATTAAAGTGCCCATTATAAACTTACAATAATATTTAAATGACCTTTTTAGCATTCATAACTTTTGTTCATTTGTTTTTCCTTGTTTTTTTTTGAATGATGCAATTGTTTGCAATTTTGCCACCGCAGTGAACTTTAAATCAAACAAGATGTGATTGAAGTGCAGACTTCCAGATTTAATGAGGGTGCTCTATCAGTACTTTACTGCAGCCACCTTCGTTTTGTTGCTTGTCTGTGGGTCAGATAGATAGATCACAAAAATGACCGTTTGTAAAACGCAAGCTTCTGAAAAGTTGATAAAGAACCTGGCATCCAAGTATGGACCAATCTGAGAAAATCAGAGTGAAATTAAATCTGTAGAGCAGTGGTGTGAAACATAAGGCCTGGGGACCAGGATCGGTCAGCAAAGATTCAAATCTGGCCCACTGAACAGCTTTGAAAAAATGTGAAGGAGGGGATAGATTGTGGACTTGCAAGAGAGTCTGAACAGCAAGGTACGGCGCATTTATTTATTTGTGATTTCTTTCATTTACTACAGAAGCATTTATTTATCGTGTAGACGAACCGAGACTTGCTGTTAGGACTGCACTTCTTCTTTTTTTTATATATATATTAAACTAGATTAAATGTGTAGTTAAACATCTTCACCCACTGACTACTTAAGATGAAAATGATCTGTATGTGGCCCAGGATGTAAAATGAGGCTGACGTCCCTGCTGTGGAGGATAGAGTTAAGTTGAATATCATATATAAAATAGGCTATAAAAAATGTTTCTTTTTTTACGTGTGACATACAGACAAGTGTGA